CAAACACGCCAACCATGTTGATGCCGTATTGACCCATAGCAAAGGCGTAAGAGTTCGAAGAGCTTAACCCAGCCTGTTCCAGAAAGTAGGTCGAATAGTTGGAAAAGGAGTTTCCACTAAGATTTTGAATGGCCCAGACCATGCAAACAATCTCCGTACGACGGAGATCGGTACCCCGGAAGCAGTCTAGGTAGCTAGCACCTTTGGTGATTTTTTCCTCCAGAGCGGTGGTGTGCACCATCATAGAAACCGTCTCATCGGGATCAAAATCTCCCTGGTTTTTGCTGGTCAAACGCACAAGGGCCCGTTTCGCATCTTCTGTGCGACCTTTTCGAACCAACCACCATGGGGATTCGGGCGCAAGCCAAATACCAATGAAGAGCGGCAGCGGCCACATCCATTGCAGTCCGTATGGAATCCGGTAGGCCCATTCGTCAGTCCGGCTCAACATGCCCTTAATCACACCGATTCCAATGAGCTGGCCAAGACCCCAGCAGAAATTGACATAGGTGGTCAAATACCCTCGGAGCGCCACAGGACACACCTCCGAGGCGTAGGTAATCGTCAAAGTCTGGAAGACACCCCAGGGAACACCGCAAAGAATCTCCGCTGCCAGCAGGGTTTGCACATTCTGGGCCGTGAAGAAGATTGACGTCCACGCACTAACAAGTATGAGGCAGGCCATAATGGTGTACCGGTAACCGAAGCGTTCCGAAGCCCAGCCATTGATGAATAAACCGATGATTTCACCGCAATAAGCACCGTTGCTCAGACCTGCTTGCCACTGAACATCCAGAGAATTGTCAGTTTTTTTACCCAAAAAGAGGCAAGTGCACCTTACTCCCAGAGATGGAAGGCACAACCACCCAAGGGGGGGGATTGGTCGGACTTACCGCTGCGGACACTTCATATTTTCCATTCTCCAGTGGCTCACCATACTTGCGCTTGAATTGCGGGAAGGCATAGAAGTTGTTAACCAAACTAATATCGTAACCCTCCATGGCAATGCAAGTAGAGATGAGCACGCTCCAAAGCACGGCTTTAGGATACAGCCGGATGCCCTGCATCAATGTCATGGACTGTTCCTTCTCTGTTGCTGCCTTCGCATTTTGAATGACCTTGGTCATGGACGAGTCCGAGGCGGGTCCCGCGGTCGAAGAGTAACCATATTCGGGTGGGTTATCCACCGGCGTTATGACATCTGAGGCCTTGGGTTCGGCCATTGTTGGATAGGCGGAATAACCGAGGACACTGGGAGGAAATGGAGGGGGTTGTTGTTGACTCGAGCAACTTTCGATATTGGAGTTGAAAGTTGCGCTGGTTCGGAAGTCAGGGGAAAAAAATCAAAGTACCCACAATGCTGGGAACATTGCACACGAGTGCTCCAGGGCGGCGAAAAGTCCCCTTGGCGCCTACCGAGGGTAAGTGAATATTGCGAGACCGAAGGGCTAGACAAAATGAGGATAAAAGCCAATGATCCAAATTGGCGGGGGAAACGGGAATTCGGGCTCGATGCCTCCAAGCGCAAATTTTCGCGGGATGGGAAGCTTGGCGAGGCCCGGATGGGGTAAGTGATGGGTCATGGTCACAATGGGCTTTTATTCTCTACTCTTAAGGTAAGAGATTTGACAGATTGATGGATTATAGATTTATAGATTTTGATCAGATTAATTTAGAAATTATTATTCAATTTAGATCTACAAGGTGACTACCTAATGTACGGAGTACAGGGGTCTCACATCCCCACGTGGGGGAACTATAATTCTTCAGCCCCCTTGCAGCAATAAGAATAGTCTTGTATCTTAAGTATCTTAATTCTCTCTGACTCGGAATTGGAGTATTCTCATGGTTCATCACTTGAATGGGAACTTGGTTGGGTGTAGATGATATGCTTTTGGGTTATGCTAACAACATTAATAGATTGCAATTGTTTATAACAGCCCTGGAGGCTTATACCCCATGACTAATACTCCCCAGCCCTACAATCCTCAGACCAGTCCTGTGTCATATGCTATTTTTCAACTGGCATACCAGCATACATCTATAAACGGGGTCAAGGGTCAACTATGCTACTGGACCCCATGAGTTGCCCCATGATATATTTCCCCCTGTTTGATGGAATTCAATGCTAACACCAAAACAATACTTGAAGACCTCAAGATGACACCGAAGTATAATGGAATAATTCGTAAATCGTATTCAATTTGCTAAATAGCTAGATACAGTGATGTGGAGTGAAGCCACGATTATTTTGAATATTAAAACGCAAGAAATTAAAAGCACATCTACAGACGTGCGGGCGGGGCACCAGTAATATGGGCCTCGGTAGCAGACTGGATGCGAGCACCAAGATCAGCATTAACACGACGGAACATCTCGTAAGTAGCCTTGCGAACACGCTCATCGGCACCGCACAGGTGGCCTGAGATGTTACCAACAAAGTTCTCCTGCTGACCGGGGGTACGGCCAAGGACCTGCCATAGGCCGTTAGCCTGGACGTAGTCCTCGGAAGTCACAGGGTACTGCTCGGCGATGACAGCGCCAGACCACTTCTCGTGTTCCTGGCTAGCCTTGACGGGCTTGTGGGCGAGCGGGCGGAAGGTAGAGGGGTAGTTAGGGTTGGCTCCATAGTTGCCGTTGACGTTCATGTATCCATCGCGGTGTGAAGGGTTGAAGGCCTTGAGCGGGCAGTTGACGGGGATCTGCTCGTAGTTGCCGCCCAGGCGGTGGCGGTGCGTGTCGGGGTAGGAGAAGAGGCGGGACTGAAGGACAGGGTCGGCGGAGGGCTCGGCACCGGGGACCATGTGGGAGGGGGAGAAGGCGGCTTGTTCGATCTCGGCGAAGTAGTTCTCCGGGTTCTTGTTTAGGGTGAAGCGGCCGAAACGACGCAGAGGCACCTCGTTCTGGGGCCAGACTTTGGTCAGGTCGAAAACGTTCCAGCGGAACTTCTCGGCCTGCTCGGGGCTCAGAACTTGCACGTAGCAGGTCCAGGAGGGGTTCTCGCCGCGCTGGATGGCCTCGAATAGATCCTGGGTGTGCCAGTCGGGGTTCTCGGCGGACAACTTGCCTGCCTCATCGTTGGTGAAGGTCTTGTTGCCCTGGTCGGTCTTACAGTGGATCTGGACGTAGTTGAAGGTGCCATCCGGCTTGATCCACTTGTAAGTGTGACCGGAGTAGCCGTTCATGTGACGGTAGGAGTATGGGGTACCGCGGTCACTGAACAGGTGCATCACCTGGTGGACTGCCTCGTGATGGGTGGAGAGGTAATCCCAGAACATGGTGGCATCCTTAAGGTTGGTCTGCGGGTTGCGTTTCTGGGTGTGGATGAAGATGGGGAACTTAGCAGGGTCGCGCAAGAAGAAAACCGGGGTGTTGTTGAACACCCAATCCCAGTTGCCCTCCTCGGTGTAGAACTTCATGGCGAATCCGCGAGGGTCACGGGCACTGTCTGGGGATCCCTTCTCACCACCAACGGTCGAGAATCGGGTGAGCATCTTGGTCTTCTTACCAACACCCTTGAGCATATCAATAATAGTCTATGCATTATTAGCCTAGTTGTTCTCCGCGGAATTGTAGAAGTTGCTCATGTGGTACGTACGAGATCGCTAATATCATCGGTGACCTCAAACTCGCCGTAGGCGCCAGCACCCTTGGCGTGAACCACACGCTCAGGAATGCGCTCACGGTCGAAGTGTGCCAGCAGATCGATCAGGTGGAAATCCTGCATCAGAAGAGGGCCGTTGGGGCCAATGCGCTGAGCAGCCTGGGGATCCATGACCTATATATACACATGATTAGATCTTGCGATTCGAGAGGAAGTGAGCTGGGCGTACTGGGCAGCCGTTGGAGGCCGTGTAGACCGGAGTCTCATTGTAGCGGTAGGTTTCTGCGAAAGAGAGGACATTAGTCGGTGTTCCAGGCTTTCATAAGGGAGGTAGGACCTACTAGGCTCGTTGTCTTGACCCATGATGGCAGATAGTCTATTGGGAAGAGATGGAAATTCCTGCGAGAGCCCCGTTTGGTTTATATAAGAAAAAAAAACAACCTTGTGGGGAGCCATGGAAAAGTCCAAGGCTATGGCCCCACCAGCTTTTGATATGGAAAATACCTAAATATACAATATTAATCCAACTGTCAATTGGTCCATTCATAATCTACTCTCGATATCGATATCAGCAAATGTTGACCTACTTTTATGTATAATACAAAATATATCTAAATGCCACGGACGTGGGCATGCAGAATGATCGATATCCAATCGCAACAGGGCCGATGTCATCCTATCGGGTCCACTCCCGGAAATTGGAGAACGGGACAAGCCCTGGAGGAATAGCTTTGTAAATGGACTGCGGCTAGACCAAGAGATATTCCGGGGAGATCAAGACGTTCTCCCAATTTAGTAGTTCAATCCGAACTTAAGTTGTTATCAGAACCTGTTCTATCGGAATGATCCGAGATCGGCCGGGCTTCCGACCCCGGAGTTTCGGGACTGGCCTTCCAGAATTGTTGAGCTACAGACAAGGCGGTCAAGTATACAGTGTTGGATCCAATGAATTCATTGAAATATGTGACTGTCATAGTATAATAGCAACCGAAACGTCCAAAGGTCAGTCCCTCCAAGGTGTTGCGCGAGGCCATAGTTGGACCACTTATGCCTCGGCAAAGCACCTTGATTAGTACTGCCCTTAGATCTAGGACATGAATGTCAAAAAGGGCCCACTCTACTTGTGTTCACATAGAGCCTTGAAAACAAAAAGAGAAGAAGAAAAAAAAAAAAAAAAAAAAAAAAACCAAAGCAAATGCTCGCTTAGTGCGCCAATCGTATATCTTATCTTGTATATCGCAGCTGGAAATAACCCGAAGCAGATTGAGGGTTGAACAAATCATAAAGTGGGTGGGTATATCTAGCGCTTGCGCCTTCTCAAGGGCCTTCATAACCAATCGAAAGAAAGGAGCACCAAGAGTATGCTGCAAGTGCATGCATGGGGAAGCAATGGGGTTTAGCTGGTAGGAGTGAGCACCGAGGTGATCGCAGGCATGTTAGGCATGTTAGTGGACTTGTCCCAGCATCCCCAAAATATTCCCGGGGTATGACAGATCGCTGAAGTGGGCGAGGCAGGATTAGCGGTAGTCGTGGCTACCGTGCTAGTTTCATCGCGGCAGCCAAACCAACCTGGATCATGACAGCTGGTCGTTGCAGTAACCGTGGGCAAAGTGGTAGTCACTATGGGTGCTGGAGTGGCTGTTGTGGTAGGATCATTGCATCCGAACCAACCAGGAGTCAGGCATGTCGTAGTAGTGGTGCTTGTCAGTGAAGTCGTAGTAGTAGCGGTCGTGCTTTCATCCAGGCACCCCCACCACCCGGGCGTCTTGCATGTAGAAGTTCTGGTGGGAGATGAAGTAGTCGTGGTGGTAGTTGTAGTAGTTGTGGCCTCAGACCCGTTGCTTCGGAAGAACTTCCAGAGTTCACAGTCAAAACATTCTTCCTCTGCGACACATGAGGGAACACTGTCGTATTTCGAAATCACATCAGATATCACGTTCTCAATCTTGTGGGTGCCAAGACCGACACGCCAGCCCTTGTCTGCCACAGTGTCATATGTGCACAGTTGTCCGGTGTGACACGCTGACTCCAGCGCATAGCCACCCCATGTACAGATAGAGTTGATTCCATTGCAGGTTCCCATATAGACTGGGTCTGCTGTATGTCCGAAGTGGTAAGATCCAGTGAACTGTCGCGACTGTGGAAATCGTGGGTCATACCCTGGCGGGCTTGGAAGACCAAGTCGAGCTGCGGGTAATGCCTCTGGGATGGCCTCGAAAGTGACCACAGGCAACCCGAACGTCAATCCAACCAGACTTGTCATTGCACCACCTAGGGAATGGCCGGTCATCCAAATATTTGCGTCCGGGTAGATCTCGGTAACATTAGAGTATAGGTCGATCGCTGCCTGGTAATACCGGTTTTCATCAGTCATAGACTCGACGATGCATGTCAGGTTTGCCGTGTATGTAGCACTCTGGCAATCGCAGGATTGTCTCCATAGATATGAGCCTCCTTGGCCGCAGCAACAACTGAAGTATAGATTATCATTGACTTTATCGTTCGTTGTGGTACCTGCACCATCGAAGAGAGCCGGCGAAGTGCCCTTCAAGGAAATGACAACAGTGCTGTTTGTCTTATCGGAGTAGATGTGCCCTCTCAGCCCATCCTTTTGCCAACCGAAGCTCCCCGAATAGTTGAACTTGCCATGGATAGTGTGCCACTGTCCTGTTCCAGGCTCCTCGATGTAGTCATTTGCGGTCATTTGTGCAAATGACAAGACAGTCTGCTTGTCTGTAATATTCGGCCCATACACGGTCTCCATGGCCCATTCCAGTGGAGACAAGGCGGCCGCAAAGCCCGAAGACCGCGCAGCTGCCAAGTGCCCTTGAATCACCGGCAGTCGTCGGTCGACTAACCGTTGTATTGTGAGAGGACTAGATGAAGCAAGCAGAGAGGACTCTGATGCAATATATTGTTCGCCGTAGCCATTTTCGGATACAGTTCGAAGGCGAGTGTCTGGCTTGACGTCGAGTCTGGCATGAAGGTCGGGTTGTTCATAGGTACCTCGGTGGAAGATGTGGCGTAAGGACTATTAACGGTTATTACCGGTAACTAGGGTAAATACAGCTTGCGTAGGGCATCTTACAAATTCGTGGGTATCTAGAGTAGCCTCCGCTCCATTCAAAGGTACCTGGGGGGGTAAGATGGGGACTTGTTGAGAGGGCGGATGATAGCCTGAGGCGGAAGCAGCACCTGATAATACTGCAGCCGATAATAATAGTCTGTGGACGCTAAATTCAATCCATGATCGTTTTCGAGGCATGATGGGTGTTGATGATGAGGATCAAGATCAAGGAGAAGTGCCCAGGTGAGTCTATCGCGGTTATCAGCGAGTCACTTGATAAGTGACGCAGTGCGGAGAGTAATCGGCACGTGATGGGTGCCCCCGTGAGTTGACGCGATATCGTACTTATGAATCTATCTAGTTCCTCGTCAACTTAGTGTCTTCTAAAATGATCATAGGAGAGCAATTTCCTACTACTGATCAGCTTTAGTATACTCTTTGTATTGTACGGAGTACTTCCGATCGCTTTACTTCTGGACAACAGGCTTAGGCTAGAATTGGGGGGGTCTCAGACACGGATCTACACTATCAGCTGCACTCGGGAGCGGAGACGCGCAATTAGTGCCTCATAGAACCCCATCGCCCCTGGCCTTAAAATGTCTGGCCCCTCTGAACATTTAGCACGGTCATTCAACATAATGGGCAGCTCGGATGTGAAATCTCCCACGCTTGAGCAAGATTCCAAGACAGCACCTCTGTCCTCTGTCAATAATGAGGGACAGGAAAATGGGCCCGACGTATTCGAAAGAGGGGAATCCGCAGACTCTGGCACAGCAGCCGATGCCCAGACAGATGATGGATTTGTGCTCTCAAGAAGCGTACAAGACCCCTCGGAGGAGCTGCCGATCGAACTAATCAGCCTGGCAGATCGGTAAGTGTGGTCATATTGGTGCCTATGCTTAACATTATTCTGACAGCCATTTTTCCAATAGTTTCGTGAATTCCCTAAGCGCCAAAGTGCACAACTCGCCTCCCACGATCGAGAAGATCTCCGAGCTCTTCCAAGTTTTCTACAGCCGCGCCGAATCTCACATCGCCACACATATTTCTGCTCTCATAGCTCGTATCAACCGCGATCTTTCGCCTCAGGTCCCGGCAAAGACTCCCCGAGGAAACGCACTGTCAAAACTGAGTAGCAAACGTTCCCAAGACGATGTCCGGCTAGGAGCTTCAGGTCGCCAAATGTTGACTGCGTCCGAAGTAGCCGAAAAACGACAGGCTCGTAGAGCCCTTGAAAACAAACGGAGTGCATTAGAAGAGGCTGCCGAAAGAAGAGTCTGCGAGCTGGTTTACGACAAACTCTGGAGGCACAAAAGTACATTGGATGATGTGCGGGATGAAAAGTTGCGTTCCAAGACTGCGGCTTTGCTGCTGGTCGGCATTAACCTGAAGGACCTTGGGATCGATATAGACCTTGAGTCAATCGACGAGCAGAAGCAGGACGAAGCGAATGAATTTCTGTGTCAAGCCCGAGAGCATCTCGCGAACATGAATGATTACAAATACCCCCTGGGAAAGCTTCAACAGCTCGCAGCGGCGCATAAGGCCATCGTCGATGCTCTTACTAAACTTTTACCATCTTCCTCTTCGGCAGATGAGATTCTGCCCACGTTGATCTATTCGCTTGTGACGTGCCCTCCTGAAGGGATCAACATTGTCAGCAACTTGGTTTTTATCCAACGTTTCAGGTCTTCCAGCAGAATTGATGGAGAAACAGCCTACTGCCTAACCAATCTTGAGGCCGCAATAAGCTTTTTGGAAAACGTCGATCTTTCCACATTGCGTGCCGATGAGCTGCAGGATGGACCTCTGAAACCCCCTAGTGAGACAACGACGCCATCCGCAGAACATGTCGATCCTTTCCGGCCCCCCAAGGAGATTACAACCTTGGCTGTCACCACTGTATCTGCATCGCCGGAACTATCAAAACCTGAAATCCAAGAACCCGCCTCCTCTACATTACCCAGGCCTCGGCCCTCTGCCACACCACAGCAACGACGCCTCAGCAATCTTTTCCAACCGCCTGCTAAAGTCCTTGGGGCTGCAAATGATGCTGTGCGCACCACTGCCGACCAAAGCTTGAAGAACATCGGTGCTACATTGGACAGCAGTTTCAACTTTCTGTTTGGTCGTCTGAAGGAAATGCAAAACATCCAAGGACCCGGCTCGGAGGGTAGCGAACCAATACTACCAAAGACACTGGCCGAGGCCCGTCGTCTAGTGAGCTTGCCGCTTACCTCTGCCACCAACCAAAACCTGACCCAAGGGGAGCTCGCAGCAATCAACTCTGTTTCCGTGGATGAAAGTACACCTCCACGCAGTGGTTCAAGACTCACGGACCTTTCCAGCGAACCTACCCATCGAGACCGGAGTGTGGACAGCACCCGAACCCAGGGAAGCGGTAGAAAGTCCATCACGACATCACTACGCGAAGATCTCGCATCGAATTCACCCATCACTACTCCGTTGGAATCAATGCGAAACTTTGGCAACACGCTCAACCCTCTGAACCACATCCCGGGCATGATGAAAAGCTTTGGCCGCAACGCACCAGAGACCCCCAGCGGCAGGTCCGTATCTCCATCGGGATTGGACAGATTCAAGCCATCACCTGCCTCGACAGATGGCACTAGTGGTCCTGTCAGCCCGCTCCCCGCCTCTCCATTGAAAATTGATCCTCCGATTCAGCGGTTCCTTGAGACACAGGATGCGCGCGATCTCCGGATTGGGGATGTAGCTGCTCTACTGGAAGACTATAAGAGACTCGCTGCTGCGCTTTATAAACCCACTGCTGACTCTCGATAAGTTTATGTCATTGGATGACGTTCTTTCGTTTCATCTCCTATCCATTGGATGCAGTGAGAGATAAGAGTATTCTTGCATTATTGATCGATGGCGTTATTATATCTGGTATTCCATTTCATTTGGGTGAATAAACCCTGGGTTAAATAGCATAGTTTGGCGAGTGAGCTACGCATTGTCCATATCATACATAATTTTAGCAAAATTAACCATTCAGACTAACATTTGAATGCGAACTTGATAAGCCCTCACGCAGGACCCCAGTAAAGTAACAATAGCAAAAATTGATAAAAATTGAAAGCATATAAGGGGTATTGAACATGAATAAATCAAGTCCCGCGGTGGGTAATTTGGGGCATAACGCAATCATCTCAAACAACATAAGGGTCAATGAAAAGCAACACCGAGGAAGAGAGTCCCTCACTCATGAGTGGCGTCCGCGCAGAACCTCTGCACCGCCAGTTCTCATCTCAGTCAATTTATTCGTCAATTCCAAACTTTGTGTTTCAACTTGGTCATGGCGGCGCTTCACTTCGCTTTCAAACACAGCGGCTGTGCGGCGGCGGGCACGCCGTAGGTTCTTCATTTCCGAAAGAAGATTAGTAAAACATTCAATCATTTGGTCTCCGCAGTTTTCCCATTCATCCATGGTCATGTGAGACAAATAAGTCTGGCGTTCTTGGTCTGTCAGAGCCAACAGATGGGAGACGGCATTCTGGGGCTCCTGGGTGTTCGGGGCAACAGGTGGGTTCGGTGGCAAGGAGGGTGATTTGATGACAGGTGGAGGAGGAGTGGGGGACTTGTCAAAGGGCTCAGCTTGCAGCTCGGAGAAAGATTTTTGGTAAAGCACTTCTAGGGGGTAGTCTGCTTCAAGTGGTCGTTTTTTGGAGTGGATGACAGTGTTGCTACGGCCACGACGCGACGGCTCGTGTGATTCGTGTTTTTCGTGTGGTTCGTGCACAAAAAACGGATCCTGCATAGTGTGGTCGACGTCTAGGTCGGTCAAACTCGTCATATCAAAGGCATTGGTTGAATGCCCGCCGCTTTCTCGTCGTACATCTGCGCGTATGGTGTGATCGTCCATACCATCATCGCTTCCACCGTCGCTGTCCTGAAACGATGCAATGCTGAGGGTCCGGGCAACATCTGGTGGAGGTTGGGAGTTGTGACGAGTAGGTGATGCATCGAGTTGTTGGTCGAGTTGTTCCAGAAGTGAAGGCTTTGGCGGGCTGAAACGTGTCCTGGGTGTTGCTGACGAGCTTTGTGGGAGAACAATCTTCCTGGGCCCAGTAGGAGGAAGCATTTGACCCAATTTCCGCGGCTTAGACTTAGGTTGTGGTTTAGTCTGAGGCTCGGGGTCAGAGTCTATAGTGACAGGCTGACGCGAAGAAGTTCTCTTTCTGCTGGCGGACCAGAAATTCTCCAGGCGCTTACTCAATGGCTCCTCGGTCGTACGCGGTTTGTGTGACACATGCCAGTCGTGTGCTTCGTCTGGCTTTTCGTTATCCCCGCCATCACCACCAATGGACGAAGACAGTTGGCTTCCGAAGTCATCAAAGTCATCCGAGTCAAAGCCGGCCTTCTTCATGGCTTGGTCCCCGAGGCCTTCATACCAGTTAGACCCGTAAGTATGCCGTGAAGGCCGAGGCTGGTAGACGGATTGTGGATCGGGGTTGGTGTAGGCAGCATTAGTACTTGACGCTGCCTGAGATTTGTTGTCATCAAATCCGTAGACGCTAGTCCCCGCCACTGTTGAATCATCAATCGCCTCCACGTCTGTGTCAAATACATCCCTGTCCCGCTGCGTCCCATGTGTGGGAAGAGTGCGGGGCTGATTTGGGAATTGAGATGCACCATGGAATTCTAGCGAGCCACCTTTACCATTGGCGGCTGGAAGACCTGAGTCCACTAGCTGGATGACTGGTACCTCGAGTCTGGCTTGTTCTGCACGTTGCTGGCGCGACTGGGTGGCTTGGTCTGGGGCTCCGCGAGCCTGCCCACCTTCTTTGGAGTGGACATAATCGCCAACCCCCATGATACTTTTTGGAACCAGCTATTGTAGAGGGAGCGAAGAGATGTGTACCTTTTTTTTTTTTTTTTTTGGTGACGCTGAGAGACGAGAATCAGTCCATGGTGAGGTTGTTGGGTAAACGCGATATTGCCGCGTAGTCACGTGTTGATCATTTCAAATGTCTTCAATTAGGGCCGCCACAACAGTATAGGGCCTTGGAGCGGTGGTGATCTCCCGGTATAAAGCCAAACAACCTTAGCTTGCATGCTTGCCTACATTGTGAGTACTACACTACCGAGGCCACATAAAGGTGTGATTTTTCATGTTCTATACAGTTTATACAACGAACTCTATATACTGGCTGAGAGATGTGTTTAGATATAAATTAGATGCAATTCATTGGGGGTATATTGGATAAAAGTTTACATGAGAAGCTCCACCGCAGAGGAACACCGAGATCATCTCAACCAGAACCTAAATCGGAAGAGCCATCATCAATATGAAGACTCTCCATATTGTATGCGACACTCCTGCCTCGTTTCTTGGCTTTCTCAAAGAGCTCAATCGATCTTTGGACTTCGGCTGCTTTCTTTTCAGTTGCAAGCCTGTGTTCACGTCTCGCCTCAAGAGAGCCTGGGGTTTCATCCATGAGCATGCGGTCGGGGTCGTCGTCTTGTTCGAAGTCTACCGGTAACGATAGCGCAGACAGCAACAGATCACCGACCCACAAACAGATCATTCCTCTGAGCTCCAGCAATTCAGGCGAGTCAGAGTATGGAGGAGACCCTAGGAGCTGGTCCATACGCGCAGCAATTTGCTGCGCCTGTTCTAACTCCACTGCCCTGGTTGCTGTGATGGCAGCATCTGCCTTGTTTTGTGACTTCCGACGGTGGCTAAATTCAGATTCTGAATGTTCGTCCTCCGAAAACTCTTCAGGCTCTTCTTCTTGGCGAAGAGCGATACTTTTCCTGGTTGCCTTGCTTTCTTCCTGGGTGATAAACACCCAGAGCCCAAACATTGCAGGGTAGAAGTGCAAGGAGGAGATAGACTGTGGTGAAGATTTCGTGAATGGATGGTTGAGAATAAGTCGTTCATAATATTCTTTGGCTGCCGCAAAGCCCTTGGCTGTAAAATTTACGGGTGTGCTGTCCATCGCATTTGGCACCCTGGTGCTACCAGGACTGGCTGAGGTTTCCTGTTCGTCACGTCGCAGCAAGATTTCAGCGCCAATGCCCCACCTTGCTTCGTTGCGGACGTCCATTTGAAAGCCTCTGTAATCTTCGCGCAAGATCAAGCCCCAAGCTCGTCCTGCTCGAACATAATCACCTTGGAGCATACATCGATGTAAAATGGCTGTCAATACACCCAGATGCTGGAAGCGGATGTTGCCTTGCTGGGCAGACTGAGGAGGGTAGATTGGAGGTGATAATTCCGCCAAGTCTTTGAGATGGCGTGAGGTAGTCTCTCTTCTGATTTGCTCATCCTTATCTGCTTCATGGGGGAAATGGCCTTTCGGCAATTCTTGGTTGGACGGAAAACCGGCAATTCGGTACTGATGGGATTCATTCGGCGTCAATACCAAGGGAGGCCCAGCTGGCTCAGATTCCGTAGCCGAGGCGATATCAGTTGTTTCTTCGCCATCTAGGTCGCTTTCACTCCACCCCACACTCTTTTTGCGTTTCTGGCGGTCATATTGAGATACGCGAGTGGCAGGCGGCTGGAGCCAAGGCGGTAGTGGTAGAGAAAAAACTGATGATGACGGCGCAGCCATATGCTCAAGAGGGGGCGTATTCCATGCGCCGCCAAAGAAAGTAAGAGCCGTAGTAGTCTGTACTAGGGTCTAGGTTATGATTGCCCCAATGTTGCCCCAATGGATGGTTGCGCATTTGTCAGACAAACGGGTGGTGGAAGATGACGGAATGAATATATCGTGCCTCAGGCACTCCAGCCGAAGCAAAGGAGGCAAACATCATCACTTATCGTCCTCTCTATCAACTACTTGCTTTGATATGACTCCTCTACTCCTCCTTTTCCTTTTCCTCTAGTTCCCCCTTTTTCATTTCGCTCAGTGCTCTCTCACCTCCGTTTCGCGTCTGCTACTCGCTGGCTGTTCCTTTCTGACCATAGCTCCCCGAGATTCAGGGCTCGGCGGTTATACCACTCGGAGTGTGGGCTGTGTCTGGACTCGTCAGACAGTTTGAGACCTCTGGCCGCTGTTGCTCTTGTATTGGGCAGTGGAATTATCTTACGCGTTTCGTACCTGTCGCAAATAACCCGGTAACCGCCAACTCCCTGTCCGCTCTCCACTCCTTTGTCCCAAAGGCCCGACACACACGGCTTCTTCAGAACCACGTCCCGGGAATCAACTGCATCGATTCTGTCGGCTTGAGCAAGGAATCAACACCTAATTCATACATCACTTAGATACTTTTACTTGTTATCTCCATCTCCTAGGTTCAACCCAAGATCTTTACGGTCGCCGCTACTAGCCATATGGTCCTCGAGTGGCAATGAACACTCGTTGACACTCTCTGTATCACTCCAACGGTCACAACTCTGTTACTATGGGACAGTCCTCTTCTACGCAACGTGATCCATCCAACACTGGCTTTCCGGCACACCTTGCACCTTTCCCGATACAGCGTGGCCCTAGCACAAGGGATGAAAACATGAATCATAGACAGGCGGCCGAACACAACGGAGAGGGTGGTTCGTCACCCCGGACGGACATGAACACACACACCACGAGCGACCAAGATATGGCATCCGACCCACCAGCCCGGTTCTCCGCTGGCGGTTCGCAACCCATGCGGAGTATCGAGGAGGAGGATGGGCCCGAATATGAACTCCCACCTCGCGAATACCGCACTGCAGCATTTGCTCGAATGGCAGCACGAAGACAATCGACCATGTCAAGGCTGGGCTCCAGGCTTCTTCCCAATTCAGTAATTCGTGGACTTCTCAACAGTCAAGAAGAGACCCCGGCGGAAGGACATGCACATCGACATGGCCTAGTTCCTATGCCCGTCCCAAGATCCGAGACAGCCCACACCTCCGGTCGGTTCAGTGCGTTCAACTCACTCAGTTCCAGAGGAATTACTCGGCGCCGGTCTGCTCGCGCGCCATATTTTATACCACCCCGTGCGGAATCTGCTGGAATTCCAGATGCACCAGCAAACCCGACATACATCGACTCTCCATCTCAAATACCCGAGCCCACAAGAGCATCGTGGCGTCGCAGTGTTAGGCTACAACGCATGCGCCATTCGATTTCATCCCCCATTTCTCACATGTTCGGCCAACCACACTCGGATTTGCGGCCTCACGAAAGCCCGGAACATCAAATGTCAGATCCCTTATTTGATGACAGGGCTATGGACACACATATGGACTTTGGCGAACCGCCTCATGAACTTGATTCGGTAGAACCAGCCATGCAGGCTGGGTGGCCGCCGGTAACTGGTTCATCTCCCGCCCAGCCGAGTCCTGCTTTGATGCGCCGACTGCCTGGGATTATCCGAGCGAGATCATCCAGAGTCCTCCGACGAGAGGAGCAAACACCTCTGTCAAGGGTTCTTCAGCTTGCCGCATCCGCAATTGCAGCTCAGTTATCCGGCACTGCCGGTCCTGCGCTGCCTAATATACAGGCATTGGGCAATGATGGGTTAGATGGCTCTTTGGAGAATTTCATCCAGAGTTTACAACACGCGACTTCTGCGCAGGCTCAACCGCCTGCAACAGGAGAGGGGCCGAACAATACTGGAAATGAAGCACCCTCGCATCCTGTCAATTTCTTGCGTGTATTCCGATTTGCCAATTCAGAATCTCCCACGGGCACAGGCGCTCCAGGGCAGAGCGCGAATGGTGTCGGCGACCGCGGGACCCAAACCGATGCAATGGACATCGACGAGCCTACCGAAGGTGAAGGACGAACAGTTACACTTGTTGTCGTCGGGGTTCGGTCCGTCCCGGCTGGAAACGGAGGCAATACTGAACCGCAACAGCAACAGCCTGCAAGCCCTGGCCCTGGCCTAGATGCTCTGCTCGGCCTACCTTTTTGCCACCCAACACTATCCCACGGCCTCAAGGTGCCACTGGTGAACCTACTCAACGGGGCGATGCGCGATCCAGATTGCATACTCCTCGGCAGCCCGGCCTTGCAGGACTACACGCCCCCACCGGAGCCACGGAATTCCCACGCCCATCAGCCCCCAATCACTTAAGAAGAATGTCTGACACTGGTCCCCGCGCTGCATTCCCATCCTACCATCCTTCTGGTTTCTCCGACAGCCCCCCCCGGGACCACACCCGCCCCCATCAACCCCAGCTGAACAGGGGTTGTCTGCGTTGTCCTCCGGCACTTCCACCCCAAGCCGTAGACCGTCCTCTGCTTCAGCAATTGCTCCAGATATTCTACCCCATCTCCATGAAGGCCAGGCAATGCAGCCGACGGCGGAGACTTTGGAAGAGCCGATGACATTGAACACTGCTCGTCAGCGACGCCGAAGCGATTCCGAGTATGCTCGTCATCGAGCTCTCGGCTCTGGTGCTGTGCGACGTAATGGCATGGTTGAGCCCGACCAGCCCCCACCAAGCGGAGGTCGCAGTTGGTTAATCTATGTTGTTGGAACCAACCTCTCTGAAAATCACCCGGCTTTAACGACACCAAGCCTTTTCACCGATGTAAGAATGTCTTACTCGTCTTTATCCTGAACCTGGTAGCTAACACTTCTTAAACAGAACCCAACTTACGAGGACATGATCCTGCTTTCATCACTGCTGGGTCCAGCCAAACCTCCTGTCGCCTCTCAAACCGACGTCAACTCCGCCGGCGGACTATTCCGTCTTGTTGAGTATGCAGGTTCATTGGTCGCCGAAGCTGTGGAAGGCGCTGGTGCCATTCAAATCCAAGACGGGGAGCGCTGTTTGATCTGCTTGAGCGATTATGAGGTGGCCGAAGAAGTTCGAGAGCTGGGTAAATGCAAACATGTCTTCCACAAGGACTGCATAGACCAGGTTCGTTGCCGTTCGCCACTGTATTTCAATATGTTCGATTGCTAACCATATGTCATAGTGGTTAACCACCGGTAGAAACTCTTGTCCTCTGTGCCGAGGCCAAGGCGTCAATGAAACCCCCAGCACCGACTCCAACACCGATAACCCGGCTTCCAATCCTGCTCCTCCTGCACCAGCTCCTCCAGCTGCTCCAGATGGCACAGCCGTCTGAGCCCTTCCACCTCCTAGCAAGCATGGTCAACCCGGCCATGTGAGCAAAGTCCCAACCTGAACTTTGAATTCTTCTCTCCTTTTAGCTTTAGCATGCAGCGTGTGCTTAGAAACTTTAACGATTTTTCCCCTCCACGGATATCCCCTTTGCATTTCATTTCTGTGCATCGACTTTAGGTGCTTTTATCATGTTGGGTTATTGAATATTTGCTCTCGGGGCCCGAAAACAGGGAACCCTCTTGGGAGATATCTCTGACTTTCAGTCCCGAGAAGTTAGTCTTTACGTCCATCAATTCTTGGTCCTCGTTTTTTTCGGTGTATTATCGTAGATTTACACCCTGGCTGGCCATACCCATGGTCCTATCTGGGCAGTAAATGATCCGCATATTGAAATCCATGTACAAACACATTATGGCTATGCAGCCAGCCTGAGATACTTCTACTATCATAATTAGTGGCGTTGATATTCCCGTGTTCCCGTGTTCCCTGTCTACGTGCTCCGTAGTAGTATCTAACTAACTAGGTACAGTCGGGGCCTGCTGCCCCGCCCCGCGGCTAAATTAGGTAATCCAAAAAAGTCACTTGTCCGCGGGGCTGGCTTCGCTAGCGATCTTGTGCTATTTCATTTATTCCATAAGCTTTGAGAGTAGCAGCTGCAGTCTCACTATTAACGACAGTACTCAATTGACCTCACCGCAGTCGAAAAAGGGTTCAACCGTGCACTTTACCCTTTCAACCTCCGAAGCCTGCAATTTCACCCCGCTCCACCATGACCTCCCCAATTCGCATCACAGTCCTCATATCCGGCAATGGCTCAAACCTGCAAGCTGTGATCGATAAAGTAGCCGCAGGTCAAATAAACGCAACAATCGTCCGCGTAATCTCCAACCGCAAGACCGCATTCGGCCTCGAGCGCGCAAGCAAGGCCAACATCCCAACCGAATACCACAACCTTGTTAAGTACAAGAAGCAACATCCCGCAACACCGGAAGGTGTCCAGCTTGCGCGCGAGGAATACGATGCTGAACTCGCGAGGCTGATCCTCGCCGACGCGCCGGAGCTGGTCGTGTGTCTCGGCTTCATGCACATTCTCTCACCGCAGTTCTTGGAGCCTCTGGAGGCTGCCAAGACGAGGATTATCAACTTGCACCCCGCGCTACCGGGGGCGTTCAATGGCGTTGTAAGTCATAGCACTTTTGTTTGGGATTGTACCTTGTTAGCTAGGATGATATGCTAATATTTGTCTGTCACTGATCATTAGAATGCGATTGACCGTGCTCATGCTGCTTGGTTGGAAGGCCAAATTGACAAGACCGGTGTTATGATGCACGATGTCATTTCCGAGGTGGATATGGGCACACCAATTCTGGTGCGGGAGATCCCTTTCCGGAAGGGCCAGGACGAGAACCTCGAGGCCTTTGAAACTCGGGTCCATGAAACCGAGTGGGCAATCGTCGTTGAAGGAGTGGATAAAGTGGTGAAGGAATTGATTGCCCAGAAACAAAAAGCCTCGAGTGCATGAATACCCATCTACTCCGTATCTTGGATGACATTACTCCACGTAGTGGACCAAGGGACGCCGCGCTTCTCGATCTGCGTTTTGTTTGACCAATGATCGACCCAGGACTACAAATCCCGAATGATGCCATCGTTGGGGCTGTTGACGATTCATGACTATACTCCGTATATCCTGTATGATTGCAGAAGAAAAAAAAGACATGACCATAATAGATGCTGGTGTATATTTCACGTGTTCTGGGCGGCAATATGGAGGTCAGAGCCGGCATGGATTGAGACCAAAATTTCTGCTACCAACTGCTGAGACAAGCGCTGAGAAGCGCTGACAAAAGCCAAGAACGTGCCAACACTGCGGGTCCAACATTCAGACATGCGTCGTACTAATGTGGGCAATCATATCTGTCACATAGTATGGAATAATTGTACATAGTGGAAATGAGAAATTGGGGATGATAAACCTATTGGCCCAGCAAGCAAGCCTCCTTGATAATCAACAGGGATGTGAACCTTAGAAATAGCAATCATTTCACCGGTCAAATTCTCATCATATGCCAGGCCTACACAGTGGATTGAGCTGCATATTAACGCTCTATTAGGGAAACCACTCTATGTACTTTCCAAGGTTGTATTTAGGAAGGTGCTTTAGCTGACCTAAGTCCAGGCAAAGTCAGGCTGGTGAACCGCACGCTCTGGGGCACGCGACACACCCCGTACATGTATGACCTCACCTTGTCAACGCCATAGGACGGATCGCAGACCCACGGAATCTAGAGTGTTTCGAAAGACGAGGGAGATCATAGCAAGAGGAAAGGCGAGGTCCATGCAGTGCAACCCAGACGAGAAGGTGGACAATCAGAAGCGTTGCGACGCTAAACTGGCCGTTGAGCCTATAATCGTGGCGCCAACGTGATAGATCAAGTCCCAATTCCCAACGTCTTGGTTCTCTGATGACTCCACCATTCCCTTTTTAGTCGGATGTTGGGCTTAATGGTGGATTATGTGGGTTGCTTTTGGCCCCTGAATTCACCGGCGTCAACTCAATTAGATGGTGGTTACCTAGGATCGGCGAATAGCACGTCCGTTTTGGGCGCACTGGGAGCTGTTCGTGAAGTTTTGAGACCTGTGATAGTTTCGTAGACTCTAATAACTGAACCCTTATCTGCGCAACGTATAGCGTATTCATACAATGCAACATTATTCTATGGTTATAGGATGATCGCTACTTGATATTATCTACTTTACACTGACCTCGGGAGTATAACTTACTAGGGCAGTGTATATTGTGCAATCTAGATATAGGACTATGGGGGGAAATAATAATAATAATAATACTATAATACTTATTAGTCTATATGAGTACGGAGTACTTTACACTGTGTACTTTGTAACCTGCCATTATATAGCCAATAGAGAGGGCTTGTAAACAACTTCCGGGCCGAGATATTTTTGTACGTTTCCACCAGATTAAGAAACACATTTTTCTTCGTGGGGCATAATATAAACTGATAATCTATTAAAACTTTATTATGCTCTGTTTAATTTGACTAAAAGAACCAATTAGATTGAACAACGCAGAAAACGTTGATCATTTGAGGATAAAACCCCAGTTTCATGTTCAGCGCACGCACCTTGCACATCACAACGCCATATGATCTCCAATAAGTCCACCAGAGAACCACTCTTTGCTGCCTGCTGATCACACTGATAGTCAGTGTTACCCTTGGGGTCCTGTCGCTCTCGAAATGATACCAAATCGGGCATAGTGGTAAATTGGTTAGTGGGGACATTGACTTCTGTCAGGATCGATCTATGGCCGATCTATAAGAATTTTCTCAGAGATATTACTCAGGTCAGCTTGATCCGTGATGTAGAATGCTTCATAGTTATATGTTGCAGGGAAGTAGCGAGCAAAACAGCCCCCTCAAGAAAGCTAGAAAGAAAATCAGCTAGGGAGCCTCAGGGTCGGCATTCATATGGGTCCTGTCCTGTCATGGAGGTCCCCTAGCGTCGTCTTAGCTCGGGATATATCTCACCCACATGGAGATGAAATGCTCGTGCACGACCGGGACATTTATTGTGGGATAAATGTGCCCAGAGCTTTGGAACCTTGAAATATTCTTCGGGATTATCATCTGGGATTTTCGGTCGTATGATGGGGTTGCAATCTATATCGTGCTTCTCCATATAATTCCCAACCCCTTCTTCCACGTACCCCCTATATTTCGGTCTTTGAACTAATATTGCAAGCCAAATTAGGGATCATGTAGCGTGAACGACGGAGCTGCCCAACTGAATTGAGATATTCGAGCCGAATACTGGAGTCGGTCCAAGGCTTCGAAGAGCGTTAGTGTCTTTTTTTTCCCACCCTTCTCGATCTACCAGACCCACCCTTCTCTGTCAACCCATCAACCCATCGTCGATCAGGTGTAGTGCTGGTTGAAAACTCCCAGACACCCTCGAATCGGGATGTCAGAGGGGGCTGGAGAATGGATTCTGTGATGGCGGTACTTTTACTTGAACTGGTTAACAAAATGGAAAGGAGAAAAAAATAATCCCCCACATTTATATTGTACGGAGGACTCCGTACTCCGTGCTCCGTACTGTGCAGACTATTTGTCTTCCTTAGCCGCCTCGCCTCCACTTAGGACCGATCTCTATCAACAGAACGTTTTCGGCATTTCTTTTTATCTGTGTGGGATGTTTCACATTTGCCGAGTTTAGGTTTTTTTTATTGCGGGACTCGCCGTTCGAGCTTTTTATGTACAATATATGGAGTACAAATGAGTACGAATGAGAGATGACCAATATGTATTGTGCTGACCTTGCATTAACAACGGATAATCAGCGAGTCAATTTAGGACCCTTGTTGGTTTTTCTTCGGACCCACTATCTGTCAATATATATACGGATATGGAAATAGGAAGCGAAAGGCAAAGAAAGACAGGATATTAGAGGACAATTCCCAAGGTTCCATCTCTTCTCCTATCCTCAAGCAGAGCAAAAAAAGAAAAGAAAAGATATGATTTTTTTATGACTGCTCATTTCCCCTAGTTATGTTGTACCATTAACCGAAAATGGTTCGGGGGAACCGGAACAGATCCATCATCCTCTCTGCATAGTACATACAACATAAGCCCTAAGACTAGAATAATTGCTTCGATTTATCCCCATGGCTTGGGATCGTCGTCCTCATCCCCCTTTTTCTTTTCTTCTTCTTTTGCTCTGTGTATTTTCTGATACGCCAAGGCCCGAGTTCCGTCCGTGGAGATCTATTTTGTATTTTTTTGACTAAAAGGAAGTTCAAGATGTTCCTCATCTTCGTTGAATAGGGGGGTAGGGTAGCAACGATGGACAAAGTACGAAGTAGGTTGTATTTAGAAGTACTCCGTAAATGTAACTTGGATGCCTATGGAGTAGAGCATTTAGACTAATTAAAAAGACACTAACAAATTAGTTATTTTGTATGTTGTATGTAGCCTTCAA